GTTCCAGGCTAGCTGGGGCTGCAGGGAGACCCTGTCTCAAAAAGACCAAAAGAAAAAGAAAAAAGAAGATATTCTGATCATAAATCCAGCTCTGTTCTCAGCAGGCTCTGGCTTCCTGCCTTAGCTTTCCTCGGTCTGATGCTGTAAATTTTCTGGTCCCCCTGGATTTGGGGACAGTGTCCCCTTCTACATCCAGGAAACTTTTACCACCCTTCTCTAACAGCAATAAAGAGGTATTCTGGTCCCAAGTGTGGTGTGAGTGCTTAGTCTTCTGAGAGCAAATATGGGTATTAGGGGCCCCAAGTAGGTCATGGTGGGGTGGGTGATCCTGCCCAGGAACCCCAAGGTCCAGATTCCCTTTCAGGAACCAGAATGAAATGGGAGAGGCCTACAGCCTGATCTTTATTCAGAAACATGTACTGGCTGATTTTGAGGCCCTTGCTGAGGAAGAGGTGGAATCTGCCACAGGGAGCACCCTCTCTTCTCCCATTAAGACCTGCAGAGGCTGAAATCAGAGGTCAGAGGTCACTCTCTCCATAGAGGGCACTGGAGAAAGCCACATAGTCTAGGGCTCCAGGCGGAGCCCCGGATCCTTTGTAGGGCGCCATCCGGCGGATGCAGTACTCAGCCTGCTCTGCTGGGAGTTCTTGCCGCAGCTCCTCTGGGGTGATGTAGTTCTAGAAGAGAGGCGGCATTGAGGACCCACAGGTCTTGGGTCCTGCCCCAGCCTGCCACCAGCCCCTCGGTTGCCTGGGCATCACCTTGTCTCCTGCCAGGATCTTGAAGGAGGCTACAACTTGTTCAGCTGTGTCTGTCTCAGCCGTCTCTCGGGTCATGAAGTCAATGAAGGCCTGGAAGGTCACAACCCCAGTTGCATTGGGGTCCACTATGGTCATGATGCGAGCAAACTCCACTTCCCCCTGCAGAGAGAGAGGGAAGGCACTGTGTCTATGAGTGCTAAAGCCCAGAGAGCTTCATGTCCTCTGATGTCTCCTCTTGGGGGTTGTCCAGACTTGGTTTGTGTTGCCCTAGTGACGAGGTACTCTCTTCCTCCCAAGACATCAGTCGACTTGGCTTTTGGGAGTCCTTCATCCAGGCTGAACCCTACTTTTTTTAAAAGAAAATATTTTTATTTTATGTGTATGAGTGTATTGCCTACATGTATGCAAGTGCATCCATCCATGTTGTGCAATGCCAGTGGAGGTCAGAAGAGGGCATTGGATCTCCTGGAACAGGAGTTACAGTTGTTAGATGCCCTGTGGGTGTTGGGAACCAAACCC